GGGGTGGGAGGGGGGTTTGCACACCAACGACTCACAGTTCTCCTCGTCCGAGTTGTCCTCGCAGTCACTGTCCCCGTCACACACCCAGGCCTTGCTGATGCAAACACCCAAAAACGGGGGGGGGGGGGGGGGGGGGGGCAGAGTGGGAACCAACCGAAAAAACCCTAAGAATGATATGGAGGCTGAAATTTCTTCTACTGATTTATAGCAGGTGAACTGGAACAAAACACCAAGAAATTAAAGGTAAAGAGTGATTGCCTGGAACGAGCATGAGCTGTTTTTGTAACCTGCATCTAACTTCGGTAGTTTGATGAGTTTAGCTATGAACTTAGAGAACTCTGTTTTGATGAATTCGGAGGGATGAACCCAGAGTTCATACCAACATCACTTTGCTGTATCACTAAAAATCTCTTTGAAGTCATCAAGACTAAAAGCGAGTGTGGTTGGGGGGAGAGTTTCATCGAAAAATGATACTCCTGGGAAAGCCTCTGGAGCCCAAATGAGATTGTTTAAGTAAAGAGGCAAACACAAATGAAGGCAGAAATACTTCTTTCGCATGTATAGCTTCTACAGAATTTATTATTCTCTAATACCAAGTCTATAAAACAGCAAAGCGCGTAGTAGTATTGAATTATGATTCAGTAAATGTAATAAAACATTCATCACATTATGGAATAATTTCAATGAATGATTATAAATCTAATGAGTTTCATAACTGTAAGAAAAAAATCCTAATGAGTTGAACAAACATAATTTCTTGATGTGGATATTATGTTAATAAGAGGCAAGAACCTTTTGGATGGTACTAGATATTTGGATAAGACCAAGCAATTTGTTTAAGACGATATCTGATTGCACCTAAAAAACCCCATGATCTCATCTCATTGCACAGTTCTGAGATAGCCTTTTGAAACGTGTTTTAAAGCTTTCCATTTCCTCTGCATGTGTCTTTCTCCTCTGATTTTTTCCTTGCTTTTTCTATATTATTCCCCTATCTAAGGCAGTTCACTTACAGATTGAAGTGAAATTTTTGCACAGTGGATGGGAACCTTTTCCCTCTTCCTTGCTGATATAAACCCTCCAACTGAAGTATTAATGAGCATCTCTTCGTACTTTCCAAAGCACGATGCTTTTTCTGCATTAAAGTAATGGCTTTGAACCCTCTTTTTTATCTCTCTGTCACTGGAAAAAAATGAGGTAAATACAGAGGGATGTAGGTTTGCGTTAGAGATAACTTTAAGCTTAGAGTGGGTGGTTTATATGTATCTATGTGAGTAGTGTTCTGATCCTGAGGATAGTTCTACTGGGTGGACAAATTATACTGACAATTAACAAATACACTGTGAGAGCAACTCTGAAGTCTCAGTGGAAGGAAACAGGCTACAAGATGCCCAATTTGTTCATCTAATCTAGCGAAGAGGAAAAGAGGCAGAGGGAAGGAGGATGGGAAGAAGTTGCTGAGGAATTTAAAGAATAGCTACTTGGTTGTCTCAAAATCAAATTATCCCCAAAATGTTTTATCACTTGGTCTGTGTAGGTTCATATACATAGCCCAGTTCATAGGAAGATGAGATAAATATGCATGTTAGTATAAGATTCATTGCTTTGGAACACTGAATCTTTTTAATATAAAATGTTCGGAGTTGCTTTTTCTTGTATAAAGGATAGGAGTGAAGTGTATTACTAGTGAATTTCTGGCCGTGTAGATCACATCTCATTATCTGCAAAACCTTCCAGTTGATGATTAGCATCTGCAATTTTGTTTAAAATAGTTGATCATCGGGGTAATCCTCTAAAGGTCAGTGGTGGCTGTGCTTTTATTTGGCTTGCTGTGGTCACAAGACGAAACTTTGTTTTTTAACAGAGAAATATTTCTACTGAGACACAGGAGACTATTTCTCGATCTTCTGTGGGGAAATAGAAGCACCCAGGAGTTTGAAAGCAACTAAAATGATGTGGCTGCTGAGAAGCAGCACCATCATTTTGTTTGGATCTTCCGCCCACAGCCACAGGAATGTGTCAGAACAGAACTGTTGTGCACTGAAGAATCGCATGATATGTGCTTTGATTTCTTTTATAAACCTCTGTAGAGAGCAGCTGGGCAGGCTGACGTCCCCAGAATCCAGCATGTTACCCCAGCAGCTGTCGACTGCTTCTTGGAGCCAGCTTGCCATGTGAGCAGCACAGTAGAGGCTCAGGCACACAGCCTGCCTAATTTAGCAAGTCTGTAACTGCTGGACTGCGACATTTGTAAAGGCACCCATGTTCCTCCAGCCTTCAATAGGCTGGCCTATTGAAGCTTCAAACTGCTGGCCAGCTGTCTGAAGGCCCAGGTAATTCTCCTCTGGCTTGTGCTGCAGGGTGCCCTTTAAAGCAGTGTGGTACTTTTCTGAAAAGATCCTGCAAAGCAGTTTGAATCATGTTCCTTCTGAAACCTGTAGCATAATGTCTTTGGGATTTAGAACAGAATCACTGGTGCCTAGTAGGTGAGGAGAACGTACTTTTCCTTCTCTTTCTGTCTGTGCTTCTATTTTTCTTTTTCTTTT